AATCATTTAATTTAAATCTGTTGGAGATGCTTTCCTCTGGACATTCAGTACATTCTAAATTTGATGAACCAAAACAATTTGGACAACTAATATCACAGGCTAAAATATGATAAAATCAATATACGGAGACATATCTAATCTTCATTTTCAGGATCATAATAACCAAATAAACAATTACATTGTTTATTGATGAGTATTCTGTTTGATCCTACTTTACATGAAATACATGAATAAAAATTCTCCAGTTCACATTCTTGACAATAACCTTCCTTACAAAGTGTGCAGTTCCCTTCTTACAAACCAGAATTTGGTATGCATTTGCAGATACCATTATCAGCTATTTCATTTTATGTGCTATCACAAGTGGTACAAAAACTTGGATCATTGTCCAAACAAGTTGAACATTATGGTTCACACTAAAAATATTTGCATGTTCCATCTGGTTGTAACGCAAATGATGGATAACAAGCTATACAATTAATTCCCTATAGATCTAATAAGATACAATATTCTTTAAAAGAACTAATCTCTAAAAAATTTGATAAATTAAATGTTACTCTAACAATAACTGTAACTCTCAAATTAAATGTATCCTGGATCACATTAGTAACACCCTACCTATGGATATTTTAATAAATTACAAAATATTTATAATCATTCTATGGATCTCTTATTTCTTATATTATTTATCTTTCTTTATGACAATTCTTATCATATTAATAACAATATGTGTAATAATTATCCATCGCATGAACTTTCCCTAAAAAAAATCCATCGAAGCACTTTTCACAACCGAAACCAAACTAAGCATTATATGGCAGTTCACAATAATAAATAGTGGCTATAAATTATTTATTAATATAATTACAAGTATAACATTTAGATTCATGCATCATCCATCCTGGTAAGCATCCATAATTCCCAATTATGTTTTGAGATGAATCAAGATAACAAGCTCGAAATCCCGAACATTCTATCAAATTGTAATATTTTAATTACATAATTAACAACCATTATCATCAGCTTATCTTTTTGAAAAACCTTCTCTACATTAAATACAACTTCTTTATTCATCACATTCCAAACAATAACCATCGCATTCTTGAATAATTATATTAAAATACTTTAAGAAGTTAAAGGAGTACCTGGAGATAAAATATTATAACCAAGTTAAACATATTTACAATCATAATCAAAGTATGGAAATTTACAAAATAGACATTTTAAATAACCATTTTACAATGCAACTATCAAACATCTTTAAATACTTGCACCATAAAATCGAAAATCTAATTACAAATTAACTATTTTTACCTTTGCAATAGTATTTATAATGTCCATCATATTGCTGTTCCATTACTAATGAAATACCTAATTGGTATCCACAATGAACTGATTAGGTGTCTTTAGTTATAGATTCTGATCCATATAGTTGAAATCTTGGATGGCATATATGTTAAGTTCCATTTGTTTCTGTTTTTATTATTACTTCTGTAACGCCTTAACAAATTTTGGCATAAGCTATTAATTGCACTAATAATTACAAACACATTAATGCGGATGCATGCCGGGCACAGATGTATGTAAATCAGGACACAAATCATTTTAACTTCCAAATACGTTCTAATATTCCTAGTATCCTTTTTATCCTAGTACTGCTTAGATGCATATTGTTTTAATCAACCAAAAAATCATATTTTAATTGTTATTCACTTAATTTAAACAAAGATTTATAAATAAAAGTAGTTTGGTCTTTTTTATAAATAAATAAGTACAGTAAAAAAAAGGGATGATATAATATGGATTTTGCCAAATCATTAAAGAAAACCAATTCAAGACTCCTTTCTTATGAAAGTATATTCTATAAAATAATTTAGTTCTCCATTTTTGTTTGACAATTGAAAAATTAGCCATAGCGATTGGCAAATTTAGAGAAAAAAAAGACATAATAAGTTAGTTTTAAATCAATCAAACTATCTACTTCAGCAAAAGAAATTTAGGAATTCTCTGTGTTCATTGTTATTTATTTTTTATGACTATTTAATCAATAATTCCTGAAAAATTGATAAAATGTATTTAATTCTTTATACTTCTAGTTTCTGACTTTGTCTCTCTTTATTTTACTAATCAAGTATATTCGCCCCATGTATGATCTCAAATGAATATTTTCAAGGTTGCTTCAATTATAGTAATCTTTGCTGCTAAACTTCTCAAATTACTCTTATTGAAATTCTAGAAGTCATAAAATTAGGAGAGCTTAATTAATTATTATTAAATAATTTATATTTTCAATGAGAAGACATTCTTTAATTTTTCAAACTCTTTTTGCAAAATTTCTTTTATTTTAAATAATTTCCACAATATATCGTCAAAAATTTACTTCATTAAAAGAGAATTCATACTTAACAGATTCTATTAGGATGTCACAATAGCATTATTTACTTTCAAATAATATTTCTTAAAGAAGCTAATAATTGTTTATTACAATAGCTCATGATCCAAAACTTGCAAAAATAATATTGATTTCGACACTAAATAATCTGAGTTTTATTAAATAATTATTTATAAAATAATAATTATTCTTTGATTAAGAAAGCTTAACTCGACTTTCTTTGTTATATAAAATTGATCCTTTATCACTAATAGATTAATACTAATAGATTAATTTGAGGAGAGAATTTTAGGTAATTTATAATTTATTAATTTTAAGATGTTTGTTATATTTGATTCTTTAAAATTTATTAATTAGTTATTTTTTTAATTATCTACAGAATAAATATTTTTTATTATTAATCAGATATTTAAATCAATAAAATTAATCAAAATATTGCTTTTAATTACATTGGATGATTAATTATTGAGTGAAAAATAATGATTTATATATCCCTCTAATTCAAGATGAGAAGAAAGTTCTGATATTTTAAGTAAATTTAAAAGTTAACTGGGCTATTAAAACAAAATTTTCAAAAAGATTTATTACTAAGATTATAATCCTAATCTAACACTCTCTTAATAGTTTTAAGGAGTAAAATTAAATTTCTAATATTAGACTATGCTACTTTATTTATTTAAAATGTATTAGAATTTTTGGATGATATTAGCAGATGAAGGATCAATTATTTTAATCAAGCTCACAAAAAGATTTAAAATAATATGATTATCTTGATTATTAGTTATATTATGTTATATTTATGGAATCTCTAAAATGATGCCCCACTTAAGTTGCAATTTTCCAGTGTTTTGAATATTTCTTAAAAAGTCTCTTATTCTGAAAATGTGATAAATATTCTTATTAGTATTACAAAAATTAAAAAACTTTCTTTAGAGTTTTGGGCATGATTTAGAATTTTTCTTTTTGCTTTTCACTTACTCAAAATGATTAAATTAATCTTTTATGAATTAAAATAAGGTTTCAACGGTTTAACAAGATTATATGACTCAATTGGATTCTAGAAAATTATCATTGTAATCAGACAAATTATTATTTTAATATAAGCAGTTTTTCTTGATTGTTTATTGCTTATAAGTATCAGTTATGACAGAATAGTTATTATTATAATTTAATAGTGATTAGATTTATTAAATTAGACTTATAGAAGTGTACTTGTGAATTAAGTACTATGAACACTAAATAATTGTCTTGATCAAATTAAATATCAAGGTTCCATTAAGAATTTATCCTTGTATCCATCCAAGTCTTCTAATCCAGAAACTATTCATTATTCTTAAATGAATACACAATCTCTAAGTTGATTTTACTTACATTAGCCTAATGTTGGATTATATACTTTTCTTCGTGGTAGCTGCAAATGCAGTTTAAACTGTTCTTTGAGACATAATTCTCACATATTTTTCTCAATCATAATTTGAATTCCACCCTCTAATATTACTTTATTTAATAAATATTTAATTTTCATTATTTTATACATTTCGTCTATAAAAACATCTAATTAAAAAATACATTAATAACACAAATAAAATCTTTTTACTATCATTACACTATTGTCCTTTAAAAATGAGATCATCACCAAAAGTAGATGAAGATAAATTACTTGAATTAACATCGAAAACCTGATTCAAATTTGCATTAATAGAAACCATTTAGTCATTAAGATTGCCATAATAACATATTCTAAATAGAGTTTTAGCATCTCCAAATTAAGTATATTTGATCATGATCATTTTAATAATCAGCCTAGGACTATTAGAAGAAATATTATGAACAGATATTATAATTCAATCTTGAAATGAGTTGTATCAAACATTCTTCATCAATTGTGTTTTATACATCTTCTTAAATAATCTAATATTAATAATCAATCGTATTAAATTATTTAAAATATTCACAATTATAACATCCATTAATATATTATCTAACTATATATTAGTAAAATATTATTTTCTTGCATACATACAATATCATGTCTGAAACAAATATCAATCAATAAAATCTCAAATTCGAAATTGATGTTCATATTTACATAAATGCTTCTATAAAATGAAACAAATTTTCTTTTTCTTTCTCTTACAATTCCTCTAAAAGCTCATTTCCATAATTTTTCTTAAAATGGTTTGCAAATTAATTTTCATAACACCCTGTTTAATATAACCCAAAATATTAATATGATATCTAAAAAACTTCAATTAAAAAATTGTAAAATAAAAATATACTAAAACAATTAATTAGGCCAAAAAGTTGGGTATTTTATAATTTGAAAACAATCCAAGATAATTTAAACACGAAAATATCTTCTTTATTCTGATAGTAACATTAAAATATTTAGTAATTTGATTTTATTGCTGGTATATTTATGTTTTTTAAAAGAAATAAAACCTAAATAATCGATTGTTATTTTGATTTATGACTAGATAATATTAAGAACTATTTTTTCTTTGTCTTTTATACTTTCTCCTGTACTAAATGGATTTAGAATAAAATATCGAAATCGTGTTATTAATGAGAAGCTTACAACCTCTTTAAAATTTAGAAAAAAATTTCCTTAAATTTTCTGTAAGATTCATGATGCCTTTCTAATTTACTTTCTGTCTATCAGAATTAAAATCCTATCTCTATACAAGAAAAGCTTATAATTATATAAATATTTTAAAAATAAAGAGTTATTCTTACACCTTCTTCAAAGTTCAAGANTAGCATCTCCAAATTAAGTATATTTGATCATGATCATTTTAATAATCAGCCTAGGACTATTAGAAGAAATATTATGAACAGATATTATAATTCAATCTTGAAATGAGTTGTATCAAACATTCTTCATCAATTGTGTTTTATACATCTTCTTAAATAATCTAATATTAATAATCAATCGTATTAAATTATTTAAAATATTCACAATTATAACATCCATTAATATATTATCTAACTATATATTAGTAAAATATTATTTTCTTGCATACATACAATATCATGTCTGAAACAAATATCAATCAATAAAATCTCAAATTCGAAATTGATGTTCATATTTACATAAATGCTTCTATAAAATGAAACAAATTTTCTTTTTCTTTCTCTTACAATTCCTCTAAAAGCTCATTTCCATAATTTTTCTTAAAATGGTTTGCAAATTAATTTTCATAACACCCTGTTTAATATAACCCAAAATATTCATATCATATCTAAAAAACTTCAATTAAAAAATTGTAAAATAAAAATATACTAAAACAATTGATTAGGCCAAAAAGTTGGGTATTTTATAATTTGAAAACAATCCAAGATAATTTAAACACGAAAATATCTTCTTTATTCTGATAGTCTCATTAAAATATTTAGTAATTTGATTTTATTGCCGGTATATTTATGTTTTTTTAAAAGAAATAAAACCTAAATAATCGATTGTTATTTTGATTTATGACTAGATAATATCAAGAACTATTTATACTTTTTCTTTTATACTTTCTCCTGTACTTAATGGATTTAGAATAAAGTATCGAAATCGTGTTATTAATGAGAAGCTTACAACTCTTTAAAATTTAGAAAAAAATTTCCTTAAATTTTCTGTAAGATTCATGATGCCTTTCTAATTTACTTTCTGTCTATCAGAATTAAAATCCTATCTCTATACAAGAAAAGATCATAATTATAAATATTTTTTAAATAAAGAGTTATTCTTACACCTTCTTCAAAGTTCAAGAGCTTTAAACAGTGCTCCTAGGCATGTTTTATAGTTTCTTTAATTTCTTAGAATAGCTCTTATCAATAATTAAATCTCCTTAGTTAATTATAGAAGCTTTTTTTATACTACAAATTGGTTATAATTTGATCTCTATTAGTTTTCCTCCTTCTCTTAGTTCATTTTTTGCTGTTATGTAAATGGTAATCAAAGAGCCAAAAATGCTTGTTACTCTTAAAAGAGCCAATTTATTTATTACAGTTTCAATGGTCTTAAAATTTAAGACTAAAAAGAAAAAATAAAGATTTTGATAATTAGCATAAGAGCCGAAGAAAGCAATCATTAATGTATTTCAAAAAAAGGTCTTTAATTCCAAGCTAGAAATTTAAAATCTAAATTTAAAAATAAACAAAAATTCGAACTAATAAATTATTTCTTTTTATCCTCATTATCTAAAAAAAATGCTTTTACAAAAAAAAAAGAAATTAACTATCCAAAGAATCGATGTCTAAAATTTAGTTTCTTGATGCACATATGTATTCTATTTGTTCCATTTAATTTTGAATTTATTTTAACACTTTTTTTGCTTTTCACTTTTACTTTCAAATTACATCTATTTTTCTATTTCTTTCTAATAAATATATTATCCAACTTTAATCATCCATAAAGTTCATCATTAATCATCAGAATAAAGTGCTATTCTTTTTTGTGTAATGTAAAGCAATTAAGGTCTTTATGCTTATTATATCTTCAATCAATTCTACTGTAATTTTTAGAAATAGATTTCATAAATCTTAAAGGAAGGTTCTTCATTCAATTCCTATTGTAACCTTTAAATTCTTGGAATCTCAGTCATTTATAGCATTTTCATTCAAAAACTTATTAACTTTTAAAAACCAGTTAATGGCTCCTATATTCTTTTTGTGGCATTTTTATGATTTGGATAATCTTCTTGCAGATTATCTATTCCACTTTTTATGCCAGAATAAGATTATATATTGTCGTAAGCTGAAGAAAAATTATCATTATCATTATCATTGATAAATTATTAAGAATCCCTCAATCATATTCTAAAAATCATTTGGAATTAGAGATTATTAAAAAAATATTAAATTATCTCAAAAGAAAGGTTAAATAATTAAATTGACAATAAAATTATAATAAAGAATTAATATTTTTGGTGCAATATTAGAGGAAATTTTTGTTTATTATTGAACTACAAGCTATATTGATGCTTTAATTATTATTTTTTTCTTCTAATAAGGTTGATTTATATCAGTAATAATAAAAGGGATAAAGTAATTATGTATTTTTTTGGATATTGCTTTAATACATAAATCAAGAAATATTTATCTTAAGTTTACAATATGTATCTTATTTGTTATATTTCTCCTTTTACACAATACTTAAATGCGATTAAGAAAGTATGAAGCCCATTTTATAAATGTATAAATTATTCTTATCATTGTAATATATATATATGCACATATATAGATAATTGATTTCGATTTATTTTTAGGTATAAAATAAATAATAAACTTGAACAAAATTAACAATTCAATAAGAGATTTGAATTTTAAATTAAGATTATTTACTTTTGGATCTTATAACAAGAATTGATTTATTCCCGATTAAAAAATCTCCTAAAGATTTAAAAATTGTTNGCACATATGTATTCTATTTGTTCCATTTAATTTTGAATTTATTTTAACACTTTTTTTGCTTTTCACTTTTACTTTCAAATTACATCTATTTTTCTATTTCTTTCTAATAAATATATTATCCAACTTTAATCATCCATAAAGTTCATCATTAATCATCAGAATAAAGTGCTATTCTTTTTTGTGTAATGTAAAGCAATTAAGGTCTTTATGCTTATTATATCTTCAATCAATTCTACTGTAATTTTTAGAAATAGATTTCATAAATCTTAAAGGAAGGTTCTTCATTCAATTCCTATTGTAACCTTTAAATTCTTGGAATCTCAGTCATTTATAGCATTTTCATTCAAAAACTTATTAACTTTTAAAAACCAGTTAATGGCTCCTATATTCTTTTTGTGGCATTTTTATGATTTGGATAATCTTCTTGCAGATTATCTATTCCACTTTTTATGCCAGAATAAGATTATATATTGTCGTAAGCTGAAGAAAAATTATCATTATCATTATCATTGATAAATTATTAAGAATCCCTCAATCATATTCTAAAAATCATTTGGAATTAGAGATTATTAAAAAAATATTAAATTATCTCAAAAGAAAGGTTAAATAATTAAATTGACAATAAAATTATAATAAAGAATTAATATTTTTGGTGCAATATTAGAGGAAATTTTTGTTTATTATTGAACTACAAGCTATATTGATGCTTTAATTATTATTTTTTTCTTCTAATAAGGTTGATTTATATCAGTAATAATAAAAGGGATAAAGTAATTATGTATTTTTTTGGATATTGCTTTAATACATAAATCAAGAAATATTTATCTTAAGTTTACAATATGTATCTTATTTGTTATATTTCTCCTTTTACACAATACTTAAATGCGATTAAGAAAGTATGAAGCCCATTTTATAAATGTATAAATTATTCTTATCATTGTAATATATATATATGCACATATATAGATAATTGATTTCGATTTATTTTTAGGTATAAAATAAATAATAAACTTGAACAAAATTAACAATTCAATAAGAGATTTGAATTTTAAATTAAGATTATTTACTTTTGGATCTTATAACAAGAATTGATTTATTCCCGATTAAAAAATCTCCTAAAGATTTAAAAATTGTTCAACCAAAATTATTATACTTTAAAAAATAATCCTAATGAATCTTAATAATTTCTTAATAGCAAAATATTATTTAATCGCTATTATCTAAATTAGTTGATAGAAACATTTAAGAATTGACGAACTATAAATTTCTTAACATTTGAATATTTGATATTTATTAAAATTACTTTTTCTAAACATAATTTTTCATCATTTTTATTTAATTAAATTTCTTTATTGTAGCTTTTAATTATTAGTTCAGCTTATCTAATGTCAAAATTATATTAATTGATTATCATCTCCCGTAGAATATCTCTATTTAAATAAGATAATAATTGTTTTGATTTATCTAAATAGTTAAATCATATTTTTAAAATGCATTGAAATATTATTTTTAATTTAATATTAAGTGATAAATATAATATCTTTAGAATGCATGACTTATTCCATAAATAAATAAATTTATATCACTATTTCTTTCATAAAAGCAATCAAAACATAATCTATATGATATATATTAATTTGAATTATGTTTATTATAGAAAATACTAGCGACTGTTGAATTATGTTCAAGCGCCTAATCTCTAGGTGTTGTTTTTAATTTCTTCTTAAGATTGTTTCAATTCTAATAATAATAGTAAGATCTTTGTTTTTTTTTTTTGATCGTCAAATATTATCATAATGATTTCTATTATGCACTTTACAATAATAAACAAATAGATTACTTTCTAATATTCTTCATAATAAAAAGAATATATTGTTAATTTATAATATAAAACTTGAATCTTAATTAATAATTAATAACTGTTTTATTTAATATTTATAATAAAATAATTATTTATCAATTTTTTATTTTATTTAAATTTTATCATAATTCAATTTCTGATTTAATATATCCTAAATTCTTTGTCTTAAGTTGAACTTTAATGTAAAATACAATAGAAGCAAACCAATAATTGATATCAAAGCATATATTGAGCTTTTACTAGATTATTCTAAATGAGGGGAGGGGGGTAGAATATAATGTTATAATTACCGTTTGAAATTCATTTTAACAAAATATTTAAACGTTAATTTCATGCTATGTGTGGCTATTTAAAATACATGTGATATTCCAAATAAAGTTAATGCAAAGTATAGTGAAGTTCCATTTTGATATAGTTTAGGAATTAGAATGTTTTCTAATTAAAATAAAATTCTATTTCAAAATAAAAAAAAATATTGTTTGTTGGTCCGTTCACTGTATTTTTATTTATAATCATTGCATAATTTGGGTTTGTAGTATTAATTGAACCTTGCATCAAAATGGGTTGGATCAAATTTTCATCCAAGAGATTAATCAAATAATAAACTCCAACTACAAATTAACTAAAGTTATTTTATGTAAATTATTGCACCAAAACTCCATCTTAATAAGAAGAATTAGCAATAATCTATAAAGAACCACAATTTGGAATAGTTCCAATAATTGTGCCTAGTTCATTGTTTTAACTTTATAATGAAAATTTTTTTATTTGTAAATCAATGATGTAACTAAAAATATATCATTCACAAGGATAATAGCTCTGTGAGAATATATCTATAAAATTAGAATCTAATAATATTTTATTTAATGTTGATAGCATTATTACGATAAATCGCAAAAATTAATGTAAACATTATTCTGTTTATAAAATTTTATTCTTTTATCTTAAATTTCCATAATTTAATAAAATACAATATAATTATTAAAGTATTAGAAAATAATTATTTTATCTAATTAAATATCTTCATTAACTTTTGGAATTTATGCAATAGAATGATCTTGACAACTACTAATTATATTCATTTATAAGGTGTTGTTAGATTAATTAAGCTAATACAAATCTTATTTCTAAGATAATATAAAAATTTGGTTTAAAATACCTCTTATTTTGATAATATTTAAACTATTTTTGGAAGTTAAGTAGTTTCAAGTTATAATGTTGTACTTGAATTATTTAATGTAAATTGAGTAAATTTAGAAATGAAAAGGTAACGAGATTATTCTATGTAGTATTATTTTCACAAATTGAATATAATTAGTAAATATATGATGTTGATTTTAACATGAACTAAAATTTTGATATGAATAACTTATATTCGATAGATTACATCAATCACTATTTACAATTTAGAAGTAAAAGTTATTCTATAAAAGAGTATGTGTATATATTTATTTAAAAAATAAAATATCATGATCAAAAGATATAGTCCGAATAACCTAGAAGGGGACCTGTTAAGCAAGCTAGCACGTCACTTGCCAACAACAACCCTTCCCTAGAAAGTAGAGCGAGTACTATATGAGAACCATTTTCGAGAAGGACATTAAGTATAGATTCCTCCATATGCTCTTCTTGGGCAAGTTAAAATCTAAAAGTGGACTAAATTCAAAATGCTAGGAGCACCTTTGTTTATAGACTCAAGTATTGATGTCACTAGAAAAGGAAAATTGATTAATTTTTTTAATCTTTTTAAAAAAGTTTTTTTTTAAAGTTATCAGAATGAGCAGTCAGATTTCATAGAAATATTCCTTTATCACAAATGTCACAACACTTCTCCAAAATCTTCAAATATTGCCTAATAATTGACCAAGATGGTGGCCTTCGCCGTGCATGGCTTAGCAAAACCTATATTCAACTACTAGACAAGTTCTACAAAGATGAAAATAACAAAGTAAACTAGTATCCTCAAACTGGTGTGAGTACATCAGAAATGTGAAAGTTGGTAAGGTCTTAATGGAAGACTCTCTCAGCAATAATAGCTAGGAAGAGTTTGTCTAAAAGGTGGACAACCAACTCAAAGCCTCTTAGATCTAAGAGGAATATACCATCGTTTAACAATCAATTAAGAAAACTAAAATACAGACCTCAACTCAGATTTAGGCTGATAACCTCAAGCTGATTCAAGCTATTCAGGATGAAGGTACGACATTGGAAGAGTTTTGAACTTCAATTTAGAGAATCTTAACTTGATAAAATTGATGACTTTATTCGAATATGGACCGGACGTATTCAATCCATAAAATATGATCAAGAACTTGATGTCTTATACAAAGGAAGGGACTTCCTCAAAAGTTTCGACTAAATAAATGACATCAACCGACTAGAGAAATACCATTATAAGCCTACTCAATTTTAGAGACTAAAAATTCACCAAAACTATTAAAGAGAATCCCTACTTAATCTAAATAAAAAGAACAACTCCAAGGAACAATGCATGGCAATATTTTTGCACAATCAGAAAGAAGCTCATGTAAAAGAACTTCATCAGATGCTTAAAACGTATGGGCGCTCTACGACGTATGAATGGATGAAAAGAATACTAAAACTTATGAAAGATATATCTAAGACCCAAACATTGATAAAATTAAATAAGCTTTCCTAACAGACAGTGGCATCAATAACTATAGGGCACTCAAAGATACCTCATGGTAAATAGTCATGTTCACCTCCTCTACCAAAAACGAGACATGGATATACCTAATAGAACAATATTATGAGGTAGCTTTATTTTGCATACAATTCTGTAAATAAATGTTCTCTTTTAATAATCAATAGGGAGAATATAACCAAAACTTGATTAAAGGAATGTGTATCTGGCCATTCTATTAAGTTGTCCTCGGTTGGGAAAATGCCCTTCGCCATTATTGCAAAGACTAAGCAAAAGCCGAACTCATAAGCCTTTTTGGACCAACCGCAGTCAACAACAACTGGACAATAATGTGTGTATTGAAATAAAAATAAAAAAAATTTTTTAAGAAAAAAATCAGTTAACATTTCAAATTAAGTACAAATAATTGATGATAGCGATTTTATTTTTCAATTAATTCAGATTTAATTTGAAAAAAAATCCAATTATTCATAATTATTATTTCTGATTCATCATTTTCTGAAACTTTCGAAATGAAATTTTGAGCCTAGAAAATTGAATATTATATAAA